TCTTCTCGACGTGTCTCCTATGTGCATCTGTAGCACTGCTACTTCTGAGATGCTTCTGTCTTTATTTAGGGTGCCATTGATATTGTACAGCGGAATCGGCTCTTTTAGCTTCTGCGTCTGCACCTTATTCTCTTCAATGAATCGCTTGTTGATAAACTTTGTGGTGGCTCCACTATCCACCATAGTGATTATGTCCTTGTGCCGTCTTTTCCCTTGAAGTCGGACTGGAATGTGAAAGTGTTGGGACCCCTGGTCCAATTCATACACCATTGCAGTCGACAATACGTTATACTTGTTACAGGATATATGCGGCCCAACGCGTGCGGCACAAAGCGCGGACCGGATCAAAAACCCTCCTCCTTCATCGCCCGATAGTGCTCGAGCTCCTCGCGCATTGACTTCACCTGTGCCATTAAGTTCGCCAGCTCCAATTGCTCGGATTTCGCTGAAGCGGCACTTATACTTGCTAAGGGTGATGTCGTGACGGGGGCGCTTGTCGCAGCCTGGGTGGAGCCCGAGGCAACCGTAGCCCGCGCGTCGGCGTGTTTTGTGTAAGGCTTGTCCTTACAATTGGGGCACTCGAAGCGTCGGTACCCTTGCTTCCCACAGCCGAAGCATGTGCCGGGGAAGTTTCCTTTTCCGACGACCGCATTGATGCTGGCCGAAGCTCCGTGCGATGGGGGTGCACCACCACGTGCCCCACCACGTCCTCGACCCCAGGCCGAGAAGAAGTTGTTTAGCTCGGGCCGACGGGCCCGGCTGATGTCGAGGATCTGCTCGACCTCAGTGGCGCGCTTCTCAGCTGCTTGCCACGTGGTGAAGGTCTCGAGCTCGATCTTTCGGTACACGTGGGAGGGGATGCCGCTCAGGTACTTGTCGCATAGCTCCAGGTCCCCATACCCAGAGCGATCCGCCGGACCCTTGAACAGCGCGAAGAACTCCACCACAGTGCGTTTTTCACGGACCGATTTGTCCGCGCAGAGCTTCGCCAGCTCTACTTGTGCTGCCGCCTCATCGTTGAGATTTCCGAAGCGGGCCCTGAAGGCGGCGGCAAAGGCCGCTTCGTTTGCGAACGGGGTCGTAGCCCCTTGCACCCCTATCTGCACCGACACGAGCTGGGCAAAGTAAGGAGTGGCCCAGGCGCAAGCGTCTCCATCGAGCAGGCTTAGTGCGACCTGTACCTTAAGCTCAATGGTGGTCAACGACGTGTTGACCAGCCAATAGATGCGTAGCTGCGATAGGAACCAGTTGCATTCGATGACGGTCTTGCCATTGTAGCGGAGCGGGAGGAGGAGTTTCAAAGTCTCCTTATCGGGGGCAGCTGCAGGAGAGGACATTATCGGCGTCGGGGGGGACGGAGGACGCTGCAGGGGCGGAGGCAGCTGTGGTGGCCCTCCGCTGGTCAAACTTCGAGAGGAGCGAGTGCTCGAGCGGCCTCTCGGCGGAGTTGGCGGTGAAGGCGCCGGAGGAAGTTCGGCGGGGGGGTTACGTACGTCAGGGACTGCTGACACGGGGGCGAGCGCTGTTGGCAAGGCGGACCCAACAGAATCCTCGGACTCGGACTCCGAGACTCCTTCTTCACCTGCACCCTCCTCAGGCTCAGGCTCTGGTGCAGGGTCTGGAGGGAGATCTCCTCGAGCTTGACTGGACTCGGCAACAGTTTGGGGAAGGCGGGAAGTAGGGGAGACAGGGCGAGAGTACCGCGAGGCGGATTGAGATGCAAGGGTGCTTCGGGGTCCAAGCGGGTGTTGCACTCGTCGGATCGCCTTGTAGCGCGGGTAATCTTCCGCGATCGATCAGGGTGTCCGGTTCGGGCACGGCTGCTGCTCACACCGGTAGATGACAGTCTCAGGGCCGTCTGAGATGTAGACATTGATGAGGTCCTGCGAGTCGAATGCGTGAACTTGGCCTTGGCAGGCAGCCACGTTGGATGGGGGGAGGACGGGGAGGTGCGTGTACTAAAATGGCCATACTACACTAGCTTACGTTACGGCGCCCGAGAAGACCCTGAGGTTCGCAGTTCACGTGGGGCCCAGTACTGCTTTTGGCTAGTATGCAGCAGGAACCTAGACCACGCGTCCGTGAGGACAAACACCGCCCACTGAAGTGCAGGTGTTGAAGAGTTCGTTCCTCTAGGGGTGGCGATGTATGTAAAGCTATCTACGTATCGTATGTACCGTAGAGTATCGTAGGGGTGCGCACCACCCAACCTGTGGGAAAGGAAAGTGAATAGAGGGGGTCCCGAGGGGACGCCAGCAGCTTGGGGAGTTTCGACCTAATGTCGCGACTTGAGGTCAAGCGACTGAGGAAAACCTAAATGCTGGGGGCATCCGACTAAGTCTCACCGAAGCGATGGTGAGCTATGCTCAAACCTAAGGCTAGGGACAAGTAAATGTATTAGTTAGTATAAGTAAGAAGGTGATATAAAGGGATGCTTACTGACCTAGGGACAAGAGGTCGAAACTGAGGTCCCTAGGGCAGCAGAGGCCGGCTTATATACATGGGGAGATAAGGGCAGGCTGTGCGCACTGGTCCGTGCACAGCTGGTCCGTGCACAGCATGCTGACGCGGCCACGGGGGCCGGTGAGTCAGAGAGGCTGTGTCAGCAGAGCCTGAGCTGTGCCGTGCACTGCCGTCCTATCTAATCTGATCGTACAGTAGATAATGATGTGTCCATATCAGGCAGGTAGTACAGAGGTCGCGGGTTCGAGCCCACGAAAAGGAAAAAATTAAAAAACGGCTAGGTGCCGTACCAAGTCGTGACAACCGCCCACTGAAGTGTAGGTACTGAAGAGTTCATTTCCCAAGTGGTGGTGATGTATCGTATGCTATCTATGTATTGTAGGGTATAGTAGGAATGTCGCGACTTAGGGTCGAGCGACAGGGGAAACACAGACTTAAAGATGCTGGGGGCGTTCGACTGGGTCTTACCAAAGCGATGGTGAGCAAAGCTCAAACCTAAGGCTAGGGACAAGTAAGTTAGCATAGGAAAGTAAGTATGTACAGGGGCTTACTGACCTAGGGACAAGAGGTCGAAACTGAGGTTCCTAGGGCAGCAGAGGCAGGCTTATATACAGGGGAAGATAAGGGCAGGCTGTGCGCAGCTGGTCCGTGCACAGCATGCTGACGCGGCCACGGGGGCCGGTGAGTCAGAGCGGCTGTGTCAGCGGAGCCCGAGCTGTGCCATGCACTGCCATCCCATCTAATCTAATCATACAGTAGATATGATGCGTCCATATCAGGCAAGTAGTACAGAGGTCGCGGGTTCGAGCCTGCAAAAAGGAAAAAATTAAAAAACGGCTAGACACTGTACCAACTCGTGATAAGGGGTGCACACTACCTGACCTATAGGAAGTGAATGTGAGTGTGGGAGTTCCAAGGAACGCCAGCAGCTATGGGGAGTTTTGACCTAATGTCGCGACTTGAGGTCAAGCGACAGGAGAAAACCTAAAGTGCTGGGGGTGTTCGACTGGGTCTCACCGAAGTGATGGTGAGCAGTGCTCAAACCTAAGGCTAGGGACAAGTTAATATATTAGTTAAGTAAGAAAAGGAAATACAACTGGGGGCTTACTGACCTAGGGACAAGAGGTCAAAACTGAGGTCCCTAGGGTAGCAGAGGCCAGCTTATATACAGAGGGAGATAAGGGCAGGCTGCGCGTGTTGGCCCGTGCACAGCTGGTCCATGTGCAGCATGCTGATGTGGCCTCGGGGGCCGGTGAGTTAGAGCGGCTGTGTCAGCGGAGCCCGAGCTGTGCTGCACACTGCCGTCCATCTAATCTAATTGTACAGTAGATAGTGTCGTGTCCATATCAGATATGTAATACAGAGGTCGTGGGTTTGAGCCTGTGAAAAGGCAAAAATTAAAAAACAGCTAGACGCTGTGTCTACCCGTGACATTAGCATGACATCCATCTTCTATAATGATAGAATATAGCAGTAGCAATCCATGAGAGTTGCAGTATTATTATAAGGTCTACAGAATGTATGTACAAATGAGCAGGATTGAGAGTGAGCAGTATGTCAGATAGGGTAAGCCAGTGGCTACCCTGTGGCTGCTGTGGCTGCGGCATCTCGGATCATCGGCCGGAGAGAACAGTTACTTGAGGTGGCCGCGCCTATCGTTTTTTCGCCCGCTGTAATAGCGACCTGATTGACCAGTCAATTATCGGTAGATTAACCGGTAATTTACCTAAGGTCGAAATCAAGGTTGTTAATCTGGGCGATAGTACCCCTTATAGACCGACTGCTAAATTACGGTAAATTAGGAAGCGATTCCAGATTCACCGCGCCCTACAGGACGGTATCAAACATCCTAGCGCCATGCGTCTGAAGTACAGGTTGCGCGTTGCTTGCCTCTATTTGTGCACATGCCGGCAATCGACCATCGATACCGAAGTCACCATAAGACAACGCGTTCGATAGCAGGCCTCAGACTTGGGTATCCGGAGCCTGCGCAGGTTGAAGGAGTTGTCTACTCTGCTCACAGGAGACTTCTCGTTTGCTAAAACTGTTGATCTGACTGCGAACATCGCGACAGATCCGGGGAGAGTATTAATGTACCATACGTGGAGAAGTATGTCCCGGCAACACAGGATGACGATTCACTACACACAAGGTTTCCTGCAGAAGTACAACAGTCCGGTCCGGACGTATTGGCTCCGAGCGTGCAATTCTGATCTTCCTTCCCTTGTTCTTGGACGGCGTCGTCCTTTGTCAGCGCTGAAGCCCTTGTGCTATAAAAGCGATGATCATACTCCTCAACACCGGTCGTCAATCCCTCATTGAAACTCTGATCAGCTATGGCTACACGTACCGTTACGGACCTGCCCGTCGAGCTCCTCGTGATGATCTTTTTCTTTCTCGATGCTCGCGGCCTGATCAACTGCAAACAAGTGAGTAGTGTCAAAACAGCGTATTAATCTAAAACTGATCGTGTCCATGTTCGTAAGGTGTGCCGGATGTTCCTACAACTTATACACGGCTCCACTTCCTTGCAATATTTCTATGAACTCGAGCTTGCAGGCATGGCCGACGAGCCCTTATGCCCCCTTCCCTACGTGGAGAGACTGCGGAAATTACGCTCTCTGCAGCACATGCGCCGCACCGCAGAGCTTGTGCCAGGGTCGTCCTTTCCACAGTGGACGGCGCTTGTGTGGACGACCTCGCCTGGTGGTCTTTTCGCCCAGGCAGACATGCGAGGCGGAATTGAATTCATCCAGTTCCCATCCTCAGTGCTTAGAGTCTCAGAGCGTCAATGGTCTATCCACAGTGACCAGCTCGATATGGACTTGGAGACAATGTGTATGGATCCATCACAGAACGTTGTTGTCGTGACAGGGTGGGATCAGGTGCCAAACGAACCAGGGTAGGCAACGTTTTGATCACTCTTGTGCGAGTATTTGACGAAGAGACAGGGGCCGGTACCCTGCACTTCGTATCCTGTCTTTCACAGATGGGCAACCCCATGCTCTTGCTGCGCGCAGTGAGATCAACCTTTCAGACACGGGTAAATATGACGAATTAGACGAAGAAAACCGCAAGGAAGGACGCCAATCCCGTCTAGAAGGCGACTACGTAGCGCATCTTAGCTCTTGGAACTATGAATATGCGGTTCTGGTGTGGGATTGGAAGACAGGCGATTTGCTTTGGGAAAGTACCATATGTCGTGCATGTATGTGGACCAAACCTGACACCTTGATCACACAGCATCTACAACAAACCTCCTCAATTGATAAATATGAATCATTTGACTTCGTCGACAGTCGGCATCTACTTGCAACGGACGGCAGAGCCATTGTCATCTTCGTGCTGGACAGACCAAGCATATATACTGGTGTTCCAACCTTCATTCGAGGTTCTCACTGCATATGGGAGCATCCTATACGCAAAGACCAAGCATTCACTACGCCCCGTCTCATGTCAACGCACAAAGGCGGATACTCGCAGAGGAATCCGGCTCATCCATTCTACTCGTCCCCCACAGCGTGGTCTAGTTGCCGTCGCCTGTTACGGAGTGCCGTATAGTTTAGAAAGTGAGGACGTCTGGACGGAGGTGATCTTGGTGCCTGCGTCCATGATCCGGGAGTGGGTTTTGCGTGCACAGGCCGACAGACTAGCCTACGAGGACAGCCTTCCTGTCGGAGGTGGTGGGCTCGTCGAATGGGCGGAATGGGCACCATACTACCCGAGAATGGTGCGCGCCGGCAGGCCGTTCTCCGCAGAGGTACAGGGCATGTATGCGATATTTGCCAATGTCGAAGGGGAAGAACTTGTGCTGGATCATATTGACTACACCGCCGTCGGAGGTAAAGAAGTGGAAGGCGATCTCGACACCTACAGTGACCTTGGGGATGAGTGGGATGAAGGGGGTGAACTGTATCTCATCCCTGAGGACAGTGAAGGCGTCCATTCGGCATACGCCTTGCTTCAGCCGGGAAATGTGAACATCCCAAAGCCTTATCTAGTCATCCTTCCAGACTACGCAATCTTGCAGGAGGTACGTAATGTCGCTCATGCATTTTGGACGGTGCTCACATATGACGTTTAGTATAAGGATGATGATGGAGACAATCAGTGGCAGATTTATCATATCGTTGCCTCTGATTCCGGTGATTCGTGAGCCTGATAGAGAGCGTCTGGACATGTACTTGTAGTGTTATTGGTAAAATTGCGCCCAATCGCCGCGCAACTATGGCGCAGCGATAGCGAATGGCGATTGTTGGCGCAACTCGGAAAGGTCAAGCCTGGTTCACACACTGAGCAAAATATCTGAGGTAGAATCTCTCACGCAACCTAACATTTGTTGCCTCCCCCCTGCCCGAGCTATCAACAAAGGAGCACGCAGGTGAACATAACCTGAACTCTCTGATCGACGAAAATGCAGGTTTATAATTTGAAGTAGCTCAATAATGTTCGGAATGGCGTTGTACCCTTAGCGAGGCGGAGGAAGCTGGGATACACAAAGACAAGGAGAAAGTTCCGCGGAAGAGATCACTGCTATCGTCTCTCGGTCTGTAGTTGCACTGTGGCATTTTTGTCACCTCTGAGCATGAAGAAATACCGTTCACCATTCGCCAGTTGCGCCACCATTGACAGCAATCGCCATGGGGCCAGACCCGCGCCGCGCCGCCACTTAGCGAATGCCTGAGCGAGTTTTGCCCACGGACACTATGTACTTGGCTCGTTCATATAGATAGCATCTTCGTATATCACATGAGAATGAGTCAACGGCGAGAAGACCATGGCGTGAGTGAAAAAAACAGCGCTTATTATGACACCATACTCACAAAGGACTGCTAAGAAGAATGTCATGGATATTGTATCACAGCATACATTGCATAGTATCAGACATGCTACGAACTTTCAGAACGCGACAAGACGTGGACAGTGATGAGAACGAACAGAATAAAGTACAGACTAACGGGTTGTCATAGGAGATGCCAAAGAACGCTGCGAGACAGAGAAAGGAAACCAGAACAAGCTCATATACAATTCACCGGTGCAACTGTGGGCTAGCCAGGCGGGTGTCATCCTCACGCCCGAGCTCTTGCTGCCGTTGCCATACGAGCTCGGCCCACAGCGGATTCGGGGGTATTCGACCCACGAGAGCGCGCAGGACCTCCAACCTGACCAACGTCAGTTCCTCATGAGTGCTAGGCAGATTATAACCCTTACCATCGTGCCTTTTCTTCATCAGTGTCTGCAAAGAATGTGATCTCCTGGTTCTGTGGGAATACAAGCCGGAATGACCGCTCAGAGCCGTATGGACCATCAAACTCATCGACGTGGCGGCTGCGAGAGCTGACCCCAGATGCCGGGCTGAGCATTGACGACCTCACATCCTGGTCGTCCTCAACGGTAACAGCTTTCTTGAGATCAATGGTGGCGATAGCACGCTTCGTGACATCATTGTATGCAATGAGATTGGCACCGACCAATCTGAGATGTCTCCGCCGCCACGACTGCGCGATGTCATTGGCATGTACCCCCACATACCGAAGGGTTCACTTACCATGCAATCCCCACCGTTCTGAGTCAAGGTCCCCTCAAAGTACGTGTTCTTATGCCAAGCTGTATGTCGCAGACCCCGATGACATTCCTCCAAGCTTTGAGGCAACTGCTCAGGCGGAATGCCAGGCAACGGAGGTAGTCTGAATATTTGTAGGACGATATCGCCAACTTGCATGGACTTCATGGTACCGCCTGTCTCGAGCCGCTGCCCGATCAACGGGTAGCTGGTCTCGAACAGCTTCGTGTCACATCGAGGAGCAATGTCTCTGAAGGAGATGAATGCTCGTGCGAGAGTACCATCGGGTTTGAGATACCGTGCCAAGTTCTCGCTTACACGATGCACCGGAGGCTGATGCATAGCTGTCTTCGGCGCCGGAAGCGCTTTCGGAGCCTTCTTTGCGGGCGATGACGATCGGAAGAAATTACGCATTCCTCCACCCTTCGATGGGGGTGGGGGAGCAACCTGGACGGGAGCTGGAGCAGGCGGCGGTAGTGGAGGAGCGTTGGCTTTAAATTGGGCGATAATATGGGGATCTCGTCGGACCTTGATAGTCAGCGTGAACTCAAGCTTGCTGTGTTCGATTCTGGCACTCAGGGTATAAGTACTAGGAGACCATGTTGATCATCATATTCCACTCACAATTCGAACTCCTGGTCAATTCTGCATTCCCTGCCGAGGCGACACTCTGGCGTCGTGACATAGTGTATACCGTTATTGAGTGTGCATGCAATGGTCGTCGGCTGCTGTGGCATAGGTAGATCGAGACTCTTCAGGCCAATTACTATGAAGGATTTCAGCGTCATAACTGGTTAGTCTCGAATATCCTGCTTACCCCGGACGAACACCTTCCCGTGTGCTTTCCCCGACTTATCCTGTGCTCGGAGCTCCTTGAGTTGCTTAGCATATTCGTTCTGTGATGCAACGGGTAAGTATTACGGACCTGTCAAGACAATTATTGCTTACCATGTCCGACGGCCTCTTTACTGTCTTCCAGGCCTTACCGCTCTGCGTATCGCTAGCAGCGGCATGATGGGAGTCACCGTTCGCATCAGAGCTTGCGTAGATGGTCTCCCGTCGCTCACGCACATGGTACTTCTAGGGAGAGAATAAGGGGTCGGTAATGGAGAGTTAAACTGCAGGACATACGCTCTTGCTGGGTCCCTCGAGCTTCAATAGTTCACGATTAATGCTGTCCGAGAGGGGGTCGTTCTCGTCCTCGATGGGAAGGACATCCAATAGTCCTCCTTGCCGGAGTGCTGCGCCGCGCCTCTGTGCCGCGCCAGACCGTTGCGCGAGCATATCCTCTGCATCTCCCGTGCTCATGCTGCGGCGGCGCATCGGCCGGCCCACCTTTAGCAACTGAGCACTGGAGTAACCAATGCCTAGTGCCTCTTGCTCTTCTTTTTGCCGCGCCTCACGCTTCTTAGCTTTGATCAGCTCGTCGCGGGCGCGGATCGCGTCCTTTGGGGGAGGTGCAGGGATGGCGGACGACTCGCTCATGGTGCGTTGCGACCGCGCTGAGGGATCTGATCCAATTCGATGGTGCGTCAGGTGTGGGGCAATCTCTGCGAGGGTCATCTCGTCGCTCCCGCTGCCGCCCACGCTATGCGCGACATTCTCCATCAACCGGTCGAGCGCACTGACGTCACCGAGGTGCAGGTCACCCCGCCTTGCCGAGCCCTTGCTCCCGCCCAGAGCAAACGAGTCTTCAAAATCGAGGTGGAGTCCCTCGAACGTGTACTCACGCTCCACATCCTCCGTATTGGCCCGCATAAGCATTGACGGGCGCGGTGGGTCAATTGGCTGGGGCTCTGGATCCAGAGCGAGTACGCCATCGTGAGTCGCATTCTTATGTCTGCTCATCGGCGGTGGCACTGTGCCGTGATCGCTTTCCGTGCGGTCGTCCTGCGTGTCGTCCTCGTCATCCTCAGTATGTTTTGCCTCGCCGTCCTCATCGGCAGCGGCGCGACCAGTACCGTCTTCGAACCCAGGGCCACCGTCAGCAAGTAGGCAAGATGGCTTATCAACGACGTCGGTTGGCATCTCGGCGTCGACCTCCATATCGCCTGCTTCCTCCTCCCAGCGTGAAACATCTTCCGAGCTGACCGAGTGCCGCAGTGGCGAGCCTACACGCGTCGTCACGGGCGACGCGAACGGGCGCACGGCACGTGGCATCGCCACTTCATCCAGGAGAGACGAGCGCGGCGAGTTGCTGCGCGGCGGCTGGCCCGGCGACGTGAAGCGGAAGCCTGAGCCTGTAGACGCGATCGAGGACGTGCTGCGATCCAGTGGTGTCGATGGGCGAGATGAGCTCGGCTCTGCCTTTGCTATGCTGGGAGGCAGAGGCAAGCTACCCGGGGCGAGGGTGCGTGGACCAGACAGAAGTGCACTGTTGTCCGTGTGTGCTTGCGCTTGCGGCTGTGCATCATCCTCTCCATCGACCTCGCGATCGAGGCCGTCGAGCGACACCTCCGAGTGGCCGATCGATAGGTTCGACGGGTCCATGCTGTCGTCGCGACCCGAGTCACCAGACATGAACGACAGCTCGACCGGCACTGGCTCGTCTTTGATACGCGGCAGTGCGAACGGATCGTCCTTCACGACTACTGATTATCGTTAGCTCAAGTATGCGACCTCACGCCACCCACACTTACGCTCCCCTGACGGCGTCGACACTACCCCGAGATCGAACCGCGGGATCAGGCTCTCTATGTTTGCGGATACGCGCGGTGCCGTGCTGACGCGCTTGGCAGGAGACGGCGACGGCGGCAGCATGCACACGTCTTCATCCAGCTCACCAACTGCATGCTGTTCCCTCTGTGCTTTCGCGCGCTCCGAGTGCGTTGATCGGCCGAGGGGAATATGTGAGCCGGGCGAAAGCGCTATGACAGGTGTGCCCGCGCGCGAGTGCGGCGGAGTGCTGAGTGGGTCGGGTGGTAGTAGCTCAAGCGGCGACGCGCTGCGCCGCTCAATCACAGGTGGAGACAGAGCCCGATGAGCATCACTCTGTTCGTCGCGCGCAACTGTCAGGTTGGGCGGGCCGTCGGTCTCCTCCTCAGAAGCAGGTGTCAGAGCGCCATGTTCTGAAACGCTGACGGGTGAACTGTGGTGGTATACAGCGCTGAGACGCGCAGCATGGTGCGTCCGGCCGTATGGAACACCATCCTCGGTCTCGGTGTCAGGTGGGAGGTGACGTGATCGCGGCGGGGTCGATGGGCTAGAATCGTGAAGCATAGAGTCTACCAGGCCAGTGATACTGTCATCGCCAGCTTGCGCGATGTCATAAGTATCATCAACTGCGGGGGGCTGCTCAGGAACGTCATTGTCGTGATGGTCGTGATCGCCTTCCTCCTCGCCCTCATCCGACTCGGAGTCAAATACATCCGAGTTGAGCTCGTCCTCCTCGACGTCGAATTCAACCACATCGCACCGTTCGTCGAAAGTCACCGTCTTGCGACGTTGTCGGCGGAGCGAACCGCTACTCACATTACGGGGACCGTGCAGGCGCTTAGAAACAAGGGAAGAACGGCCCGGAGAGGCAGAAGGAGCTGGAACGCGAGAGAGCTTGGGAGGAACTGGCGGCGGACCTTCGTCATCCACTACGGCTTCGGACCCGGGCGCCTTCTTGAATGGGCTCTTGGTCACTGGTTCCTTTTGCAGCAGGCCTTGGAAGCCTTTAGACTGGCGCCGCTTGAAACCAAGCGGGTGCTCATTCTCGGCCGAGGCGACCATGGACGGCGGGCGTGGACGCTTCTCGCCACTGACCCGGCGTGGCGTCGCAGGCGAAAGTGGAGGCTTGGCTGGGGTGGGGATCTGAGATCGAAAGGGCGATTTGGATACGAGATGGTTGGACTTGAGATGCTTGTAGCTGGCCGACTGGCGGCGCGAGAGCGGGGCAGCCTGGGGCTGAGGAGAGGCAGACTCGCGCTTGGCGATGCGGAGTGGCGTCGTCGGGCGCGGGAGCCACCCATTGTTGTCGTCGGGCGAGACCGACTGGATGCGGTCGCGAAGGGGTAAGCCGGTGCTCATTGTAGCACGCGGCGAGCAAGTGTGGCTGTCGTTGTGGCTGTCGGTGTGGCTGCAGTGTGGCCCGTCGAACAATGCAACCAGGAGAGGCGGTTCAACCGTGCGTGGGAATAGGACACGGTTGAACTACGCGTTTGCACGTGATCGCGTTCAATGTGGCGCGCACGTGATGTGACGTACACCTGCAGCTTGGGCTCAGCTCGAGTGCCCCTTGCTAAGTTCGTAATGACTCTCAGGAAGCGAACAAACCCTTCGCATGAATCAATACGTGAAGAAAATCACAAACACGAGGAGGAGAATGAAGAACTAAAGGAGGAGGTCGCACACAAGCAAAAAGCCCTTGAACAGAAACAGGCGAGCAATGTAAATAATCATTGGCCTTGTCTCGTTGCCGTGCTTTAGCTATGGCGATAATTGTATTAACACCTTGGTCTGTAGAAACACCGGCGTTTTTTTACGACGCGACGCTTCATCTTCCCGCTGGGTATACTTGGTAAATCGGACCCTGTCGATCTGCACGTTTAGACACTCACATCAATCAAAGTCGGGATTCTCCTTGGATTCATACTTATTCAGCCAGCCGACTTCCCCGATTTCCAAACGCATCTCACGGTGCTCCTCGACCAGTACGAATTTAGCATCCCGCAGGCCCTCCAATTCGAGCTCCCCCTGCTCGATCTCACTCGTCTGGAGACCGAATGGCGCAAGTTCCGCAGCAACATTCCCGAGCCATGGAAGCTGAATAATAATGGCCTCGAGTTCACTGTCGGCGAGCAAATAGCTGAGCGAGGGCTCACTGCGAAACACCCTGTTGTGTTGATTCCCGGAATCATCTCCACGGTATGTCGCATACTTGCTGACGACTGACTGGGATCCAGCCTCTCACTGATCTTCTTGTAGGGGCTGGAGTCCTGGTCCACTTCTCCAGAATACCGCCCTTTCTTCAGGCAGAAGGTCTGGGGCGGGTTCTCCATGTTATCCCAAGTCATGTTCAACAAGGAGAAGTGGATGGCTACTCTCATGCTCGATTCTGTCACTGGCCTTGACCCTCCAGGCGCGAAGGTAAGAGCCGCAGAAGGCATTGATGCTGCCAGCAGTTTCATCCAAGGCTACTGGCTGTGGTAAGTACCTATGTCACGGAATTTCAGACACTATACCCCAGTCGCACTAGGTCCAAGATAGTGGAGAATTTAGCTGTCGTCAATTACGACACGAACAACCTCCACCTTGCACCATACGACTGGCGCCTATCCTACTACAATCTAGAGGTACGCGACGGCTACTTCTCTAAGCTCAAGGCAACGATCGAGGGATTCGTGTAAGCCTTCATGCGTGGCCTACAGCGTTCTGCTGACGACTGGTCGCTTCATTGGATTGCATATGCAGCGCAAGAGAGAATAAGCGCGTTGTCTTAGTCGCGCACTCCATGGGTAGCACTGTACGCCACCTATCGTAACTAAAGCAGTTGAATGTGCTAAGGTCAGCGAAACTCAGGTGATGATGGTACTGTGCCCGAACCTTACTGTGATCTTTGCTGAAGCCTGATACTGACCTCAGAGTAGTACTTGTAAGCGTCATCCGTTATCGGGCTTACTGTAGGTGGTTGTTGACACGTCTTCTCAGCTTCAAATGGGTGGAATCACCTGAACACGGAAAGGGTGGACCTGATTGGGTTGAGGTAGGCCATTGCTAAATGTCTTTGGTAACGGGTATGGTGTGAAACATTGGCGAACAGAAAAACGTGGAAGCTCTCGTCGCCATTGCTGGCACCCATCTGGTACGATGGTAAACGTGATGATAACATTGCTGATGCTGACGGACTGTACAGGGCGTGGTAAGACACAGTTTCTTCTACATGCTGAGATACCTTGTTATTTACTCGTGTGTCAGGTTAAAGCCATGTCTGCCCTTCTATCAGGTGAAATGAAGGACACTGTCCAAATGAATCCCGCAGGCGCATATGGTACGGATCCAATGCCTACTGTTTACAGTCTTCTTTCATTGATCACAGGCCCTCTCTTCGCCGAGCAGTTCTGGAGCGGTTTTTCTCCCGCAGGGAACGTCAGAACCTGTTCCGCAGTTGGGCCGGTAGTGCAAGTATGTGGATGAAGGTGAAAACATGAGTGCTTCTCTATGTTCCACGCAGCTCTTATGCATCGAAGGGCGGAGAAGCGGTGTGGGGCAACGCAACATTTGCTCCTGATGACATCTTCGGGTATGCGCAAAGTCATGGCGAGTTAGTTGTATTTCGACCCTCCGTGGTGGAAACGGAAGGCAAATACTCGCTGTTGAAGAACATGACCGCGTCCGAGGCTGGCACGTGGATTCTGGAGCGTACCCCCACTCATTTTCAGGTCAGTCCTCCCTCTCTATACCGTGCACATCTGGACCCGCGCTCGCTCAGAAAATGATAGCGTCAAACTATTCCTTCGGCATTGAAAGAGACGAGCAAGCCTTGGAACGCAACAATTTGGATCATACGAAGTGGACGAATCCTCTAGAGATACAGTACGCCCTCTTGGCATTTTGCTGTCACATTGTGGGCCTCATAGATTGACAGACTACCACACGCCCCGACTACCAAGTTTTACTGCGTGTATGGGCATGGGAAGGACACTGAGGTGAGTCACATGTATGGAGTGCTAGAAACATGTCTGACAATTCTTCGCAGCGTTCATACTGGTATGTCGCTGTGTTATGCCTGCATACTATCTATTGTACTTATATTTGGTCAAGGTACACTCGAGAAGAGTATGAATATGACGACATCCAGCCTGACACCGTCGACGCTTCCTGCCTCAACGCTTCCGAATGCATCACACCGCGATCCCCTCTTGACTTACCTTTACTGCGTCGAAGCCATATTGATGCGGAATACACAGACGAGACAGTATTCCCGAAAGTGATCAACGGCGTGAGAATGGGCGAGGGCGACGGGACTGTGAACCTCCTCAGTCTGGGTGCTATGTGTGTGGAAGGCTGGAAACGCAAACGGTGGAACCCCTCAGGAATCAAAGTGGTGACTGTGGAAGTGAGTATCTCAATGTGTGAAATCCACCTTCTCAAGTTTGCCGTTAGCTGCCGCACAATCCTGTGTCGACAATCCCGCGAGGAGGCGGAACCACAAGCGACCACGTGGACATCCTTGGTTCGACCGCACTGAACGAGATTATCTTGAAGGTCGCAACGGGGGCTGGAGACGAGGTACAGGATTCGTTTGTCTCGCGAATCCGTGAATACGCCCAGAGGATCAAATGGGACTAGGCCTCTAACAACAGTTCACATCGTGATTCAACATCCATGAATAGACAACATTATTCGAATCGGTCCCTAACTCCATCGGCTCGTACATACCTATCAGTTAATAAAATCATAGAGGATAGACATTGTTATGAGTGTCACGGTAGATCCTACACTTCGGTGACTCTATCCAGCCGTGATCGGTGAGGAGCAGGATGAGAGCGCGAAGGTGGATCCATTCCTGGCGGCCTGGAGGGATATAGGGCACTGAGAGGCTGGTCAAGATTGCGACCAAGCGCATGTGGATATGGCTGGCTCGGATGACTAGTAGAAGACGCCGTTCGCCCGATATACTGATCGCAACCTTGCGTATTCGTGGCCGGAGCCAGAGGGACGGGCAGAACAATTTGATCTCTTCGCGGTGTGAAGCGCGGCCGGAATGGTGCGGAGTCGCGCCTGCGCGAGGCAGGTGCTGCATCTGAACTTGCCGCGGGTGCGGGCGCGATATGCACCTGAGGCGTTGAATGACGCCGAGACTCTTGCGGAGCGTGCCTGCCACGCATAGGCATAGACATAGGCATAGGTTGGCCTTGCGAGTAGCTATGGCGTATTGGTGCAGGGAGCGCCGTGGCATTTGCATCTATGTGCGACACAATGGCTGAAGCCGGAAATGCAAGCGGATAGTTGACGAACGGGGTGCGTGCTGGAGCCATTTCGCGTGTGAGAACTCGAGGCTCTGTAATCAAGCGAATTTGGGTGCGGTGAGACTGCGATGAGGAAGGACCTGAACTGAGACCTTCGGTAGAGCTGGATGGAGGGAGGTCCGCAAACGCCCGATGTAAAAAGCTATCCGAGCGACGGGCGGAGGTAGGAACAGACGAAGCTAGAGAGGTGCTATCGGACATTGGGGACGTCGGGGAGAGGAGCAGGCCAGGCTCAGCGGGAACGCTGTCTTGCATATGGAGTAACGTCGATGTAGCAATTGCTGGAATGACCTCGCTGGATTGGGGCTGTGGAGGGACAGCAGAGGACGGAATCGCCGGTAACCTATGGCTTCTGTATGTCTGTATAAGTGAGGGCGGGGGTGCGTCGTCATAGTCGTACTCGTGAGCGAGGAGTGCACTTGCACGAGGATCTTGACTAAGAAGTCGATGATTGTCAGTTCCGTCGTCGGCGCGAGAGAGCCGCGAGTACACATGTTTCCACCATGACGGCTCGCGTCTATGGCTTGAAACTACTTGAGGCGAGTCGGTTGCCTCGATGCGAGCATAGGCTATACCTCTTGATGGTTCCTTGCTGCCTCCTAGGATGTTGCTGTCGTCAATACAGCTGGGCATCAAGCCAACAACCACCGTACCTCGCCGGCCGGAGCCCTTCTTGCCCACCCCGCTCTCCACCTGCAGATTGAAGCCACTCTCGTTCTTTCCATACACGTACGCATCATCATCCCCACGGCCAAGCCATTGCCCCTCAGCACCATGGGGCGTATTCCCATCTCCATGGCCTATGCCCTCATAGGCCTTCTCACTCACCACGCGGGCATGCTCGCGGATCGCGTACCGTGACTTGCCAAAAACGTTCTCCATAGCCGCCTCGCGCCGCGCATGCATATCCGTCTCGCGCCCACGCGCACGGTGTGCCATGTACACAATACCGCACCATACCTCGCGCAAAGTTTCCGTAAAGTCGAGTGCGTGCCGCAATGCACGCCAGCGGGCAGGCCGGTGGCCGGGACCTCGGTACGGCTTGTATGTATATGCACGAATGTGGAGGAGCGCGAAGAGCCTGAACAGACGTAAGTACCAAGAGCGCTACAGTGGTGACAGGCGTACACCATCTCGAACGTCTCGAGGATTGCACTTGCGCCAGTCGCGATGTTATCGGCTGTCATGTACGTGGTCTATCCGAGTTGTGTTTGTCAGTTATCAGCATACACAATGTCTGGCGCACGTTTTTGATGACGCCAACATCCTCCAGTCCTGATATAAGTGTTTCTTGCCAGAACGTGAGAAAGACTATTCGCAGTCAGTCAGCTGTTAATGTCCTAGGTAATCTCTTCTCTACACACCAACAGCCTTGACGGCGAATAACTTTAGCAGCGGCTTGTGCGGTGCAAGGTGTCCTGCAATCGGCATGTACAATTGTATCAGACAGTACATAGCTATGGTGACGGATATCGACATGATAATCGTAATCTGCGCCATGATTTCAGCACGAGCTCCATGAATGCCTGGATAAGGTGCATACGTAGAGATGACCCCAGCCAGGGCTCCATGAATCATCGCAGTACAGGCCGATGTAGTTCAAAATGACTGCTGCTAGGGTTGTCCTTTGGAAGGGTAAGCATGAGTAGAGTAAGCATGAGTAGATGCAACAGGAGGCGACAACTAACAGTGGTCTGATCACACAATACTGCAGAACGCCCCATTTCATCAGTTGCAGAAAGTAGAGACCATCCTATGCGCTGCAGGTTAAAGACGTGTTGATTGGGAGAGCAAGGAGCCCACCTCCGGCTTCCAGCCTACTGACTGGAGAGGAAAAACCCAGTGCGCAAGGGGAGCTCCTCGCCTGCGTGCCTCCCGATCATTCTCGCGAGAGAGTCCAACCTGAGATTCATGTGCACATATAGTCAAGTATAAGTGATCCAATATAGCCGGGAGCATTCAATGAAGCTCCATTACCTTGCGGAAGATGTCTTTCTGCTCCTCGGGGTCATGGGAGAGGTAATTCAATATGAGGTAGAAGAAGGAGGTCAGCACAATAGCCTCGTAACAGTCTCGGATCAGGAGCAGAGCAGTAGAATGATTCTGTGTATTTCATGGTCATTGGTCATAAGGTACACGTCGAGATGAGCACAGCACAACGACTTACCCAGAAGAGGTAGGACGCAAAAGAGACAGCGGCGTAAATCGGTACCATCAGCAGGATTCGTAGGATGTCTGCAAGGCTATTAGTCGGTACCCACATAACCGCGATGCAGGTCGATACGCACAGCGCTGCTCAAGTTTCTGGAGGTGGAATGGCTGTAAGCAAGGCACCCTCGAAGGCGCTGTCTAGTAGGCTCACATCTGTGTACCAGCGGAGATGCTTCTCAACTAGCCAGAACGATAGAACAAGCGCTACAAAAGTGCAGCATCCAGTTACTATCCAGCCAATCTAGCGAATCCATCCTGTCAAATGGTATTACTGTAATAATCAAGGGAACGCGCACATCATGGGCTACGCATTCGCCAGATGGTCAGTCCAAGAGAGACACGCATACAAGGAGTAGTGCACGAACCTGCCAGAACGAGAGTGCCATGCTGGATCAGCGGTGGCTCAGATTGAGCTTCTTGAGCAAAGCACCGGCCGTTTTTTATGTCCGCCATGTGGTTTGATTCAAGTTAGAGAGTATAGACAGGAGTACAAGGAGATCGTTCAAAGAGTCAAGTGAGAGTATAGATAGAAAATACGTTATGAGGTCGTTACAATATCGTGAGGGTTCGTGAATTCGTCCAAGGTCAAGCCTACTGCGGGACCCGAAGCCAAGGAAAAGCAGAGATGTGGCCCGTTTGATCTACCGGTACCAAAGCAGAAGAAGGGCGCAAGCCTGGAGGGTGACGGGAAGGAGATGGCGACCTGCGAGCACTTGGTCGGCAACGACTGTGAGCGGAAGGACCACGGCGTATACTATAGACGCCCGTAACGTCAGGATGGGCGTCTGATTCGGCGCCAACTATGTAAAAAAACTAATACTTTCGTGTATTGTAGAAGTAATTCTCCAAGCCTCAAGCCCTGGGCCTCAGGCATCAGTAACGGCTGAAGATGACGAGAAAAACGTCCCAACATACAAGAAGGCTGCCGCAGAATCAGCGGTTGCCAAACTCTAGTCCCGCTGTTATTTTTCAAGTTCCCTCTTCCATGTCATCACAAGGATCAATTCGGTGAAGAAAGCTTTGTGTGCCCAGTATTACTTATCTGCCTGCAAAGTTTGAGCAGAAAAGCCGTGGCTGTACAATAGCTCATACACACTTCTTTTACCAGAATACGCAGGGTGCTAGAATAGCAGTTCTATGCAATTGATTCTATATCGATAGACCTGCTCGAAGATATTTGTGCGCAGGCGCGGTTGATATGGGATCAGCTGTAGCTGTAAACCGTTGTTCAAAGGGCCAGCCGGAAGTCCCCCCCTTGTAATTTATTCTGCCAGTGAAATGTGCGCGGCGTGATCCTCTCTGGCGATGCTCGTACAGAGTCTGGAATGCAAGCTTGTTTTATGATGCGGTGATCCGTATGGACCGGATACTTCGTGATCTGCGCTATCAACTTGCTACCGACGGTAGTCGACGGTCCGGGTCCTTCCCCGCACCCACCGCGACCGTCCTCAAAATGCCCCGCAGTGCCCCGGATTCCCCATCTTTCCCCGCCTCGCTGCCCTCTGCACCTGCCCTCTCCCTCTAGTCGACCCCAACACCGCTCATCGCTGAACATGTCGTTCGCATCACCCGTCAAGGCTGCACTCGGGCGCATCGCATTCGTGACTGGCGCGGGGCAGGGTATTGGTCGTGCCATCGCGTGTCGTCTTGCGCGCGATGGGTACGACATCTCCATCGCCGATATCCCCCCTGCGAAGGCGAGGGTTGACGATGTCATCAAGGAGATCGAGTCGTACGGCAGGAAGGCCATCAGCGTCTACGCTGGTACGTACCGGCCTCTTGCATGCGAGTCTAGTGGTAATTTGATCAAACATGGACTTCATAGATATGAGGGATGCAAAGCAGATCTACGCGGCCCTCGATGAAACCGTAGACAAACTAGGACCGAGGCTCTTCGTCAGCGTTGCAAATGCAGGTGTCACGCAAGTCAAACCTCTGCTCGAATGCACGCCTGAGTACGTACTCTGCGTGCCATGAGCGAGGCTGTACCGAGTTCGACCCCGTGTGCTGCAGATTCATCGAGAACGAAGTGAGGCTCAACGTGCTTGGCCTGATGAACACGTACATCGCAGCAGCCAAGCAGATGGTGAAGCAAGGTTTCGGCGGCCGTGTCATTGGCGCGGGTTCGATCGCGTCCTACCGTACAGCAGGCAGGTCGAGACATCGTGACCAGAACCCCGATAATGAACATTGTCTGTAGCGAATCTCGCCCCATACGGCGCAACCAAGTTCGCTGTTCGTGGCTTCACGGAGGCCGCAGCAAAGGAGTGGGCGCAGTATGGCATTCGAGTGAACGGTACATTGGTCATCCTGTTACCTTGTATACCACACTGAATGCGACATCTGCTCAGCATACGGCCCTGGCATTGTCGACACTCCGATGTGGGACCACATTGATGCTGAGCTCGCGAAGATCGTCAGTCACTTTCACTCTTCCCGTTCGAATGGATACTGACATGGGCGTTCGTTCTCAAACACAGGAGGGCATCAGCCAGGGCGAGGCAAAGGCGAAGCGGGTGAAAAACGACATCCTGCTCGGGCGTATACAGGAGCCCGAGGACGTCGCTAAGCTTGTCTCGTTCCTTGCGTCGGAGGAGGCGGAGTACATCACCGGCCAGACGATCAAGACGTGCGGTGGCGCGTCGCTATAGATGTTTAGATGTTTCCTTTCGGGATGATATGACAGTGATACGTTACACGTTGCTTTGTGGCATCGCATGAATAGAATTGGGTCATCGCTTGGTTTTTGCATCCCTGCCTTGACTGAGCAAGCTTTGGTAATGGTGACTACTGCTTGCTTGTGTGCTCGCTCGTTGGATGATGCGGGGACAACGGCAGATATGGGTCTTACCCGGCGGTGTCAAGTCGGCAACGATTAATGCGATTAATGCGCTCGTGTCGCCGTCTCTCTGTCTCTTGACCTCGGAGGTCAAGTACATGACTCATTGTTTCAGGACACCCTGTGTTGCCTGACTGCCTCTAGCACGTATTATTATGAGGTCTACAGAATGTATGTACAAACGAGCAGGACTGAAAGTGAGCAGTATGTTAGATAGGGCGGTGGCTACCCTGTGGCTGCTGGGGCTGCGGCATCTCGGATCATCGGCCGGAGAGAACAGTTACTTGAGGTGGCCGCGCCTATCGTTTTTTCGCACGCTGTAATAAGGGTAACGCATGGGTTGTCCAAACATGCTGCTATCTCTTCCTGCGTCGATGCTGGAACGTTGGCTGATTTAGAAATTATCGCTACATGGCTGCTTAGGACGTACGAGAGGATCCCTCGCCGAAGAAGCCTCGGGAAACACGCCATGTATGGTTCAACATCCACATGCCAATCTAATGTCAACCGGAACTTTCGAAGTCTCGCAAACTTTGATCTCGACAACGCGCCATCTATTGCCGCACAGTCGTCTTCACTGAGCAGGATGTACGGGGGGAGTATCTTCCATTCGAGGGAGTAGCTTGCCATCCATCTTGCTTTGACAAAATTGACTGTTACTTCTTGCATCGCTGAGGTGGCAACTGTGCGCAGTAACTTCGGAATCCAGACCGATGCGGGCACAGATGCGGTGTCATTTATGATAAGTTCCTTGAGATTTTGTCTCGTACCCATCCCCCCGTATCCGCACCCCACCACCGCGAAAAGGGGGTCTGGGGCAGTTAGATAGGCGCACCCCCCCCTGGCTTAAGCGCCATGCAAGCGCCGGAATGTAACGGTCACAGTAGGCTTCTGGTACCTAGAAATGATGCGATCTTTGATCGCTTTCCAAATCCGGTACTCACACCTAGCAGGTCGTGCTCGAGACTGGTGGACGCTACATTGTGGTCTGCCACAGAATCTCAAATTTACTTGTTTCAAGCATCTTAGATAAGCCTCATATACTATATACACCAGCAACCTAAGTATTTCATGAGATATACCCCTCCAGTAACATCATGAGGATGCCACAGATACTGAAAGGAGAAGTTGCAGCTTTCATCATGATGCTTTCCACATGATACTTTATTTGGTCATGAGCTTGCAGGCTGATTTTGGCATAGATTTTTTTGTGTGGCCTTTCAAGTATTTTACAAGCTCAGGTATGCCTTTGTTGACACTTCCTCGAGCACGACCTGCTAGGTGTGAGTACCGGATTTGGAAAGCGATCAAAGATCGCATCATTTCTAGGTACCAGAAGCCTACTGTGACCGTTACATTCCGGCGCTTGCATGGCGCTTAAGCCAGGGGGGGGTGCGCCTATCTAACTGCCCCAGACCCCCTTTTCGCGGTGGTGGGGTGCGGATACGGGGGGATGGGTACGAGACAACTTGAGATTAATATTATGCGAAAGGTCGCAAGGTGATAGTTGTTGTGTCATGTCTTTGATTGATTCGCCTGTCGTGCTCTAAGAACTCCAAAAACCCTCAAAAATCCCAAAACTCACCATCAGCATACATTCGCAGGGTACGCAGGCCCTGGCCTGAGTGCCGGAGCAACCTGGAGCCTCCGTAATACGCGGCAAACAAATCCACGTCGAGTGATTCAAAGTGTTCGCCAGTAGATGTCGCAAGGAGGAGGTTAACGACATCTTCGTTGGGACAATCTTGCAGTGTAATACTAGTAAGCCGCAGGCGATTCGCTTGCGGAGGGAGGTCGCAGACATCAAATCCTCGCTTCCAGAATCTGACCTCGCTGCATGCAAGACTGCGAAGAGCGGGGATAGAAAGGATGAGCCGTCCAAGGTGAGCTACAGAGGCAAACTTGGCGTTGGAGAGCGAGAGACTGGTTATGGCCGGAAACGCCGAAATGCAGATAATTGAGCGGTGGTCGAAACTGATGTTGTGAATATCCGTTCCCTCAAAGACGAGGGATCTGAGCACAGGCATCCTCCTCGTGAGCATCATGAGGAAGGCGAACACATGCCATGTGTATTCCGCCCGACCTGGATACGCTCGCTCTTCGTAGACATTTAGACATTGAACCAGATTGGCCATGTCCGGGTGTGCATCCAACAAATGGGCGAATTTGAACACCTGAGACGTATCTGAAAAGGCAACACGCCGTAGGATGTGGAAGCGGCTCCGGGGAAGCCAGGCTTTGCATGTCAGGGCGCACGCAAGGAGGGTCTCTTGATCATCTCGGATAGATTCTCTGTCATACCAGCCTTCGCCTTCACCGATGCAGCACTCATCAATGATGTGCTCGAACACCTCGATGGGGAATATCGGCGATGAGGTGTCGACAGTGGTCGGACTTGCCAGCGGAGACGCGGTATCGGTGGTAACCTGTAGACGAGACGATGAGAGCGGTTGCGAGAGGAAGATCGTCACTTACGGAGGAGGGCACGGAGAGCACAACCGACGCATCTTCGATAGTTCCAATATCGCTCATTCTACCAAGGAAACGTCGAGGTGTGCTGTGATGGGGGCGCGGTTTCACTCCGACAGAGCCGGCCATAGCCATATATCTGTACGATGCAGTCTGCAGAGCCTCCTTTCGTGATTAGCTATCAAGGTTCAATCTTCCGCGAGGCCGCGCACTGTATTACGCTTCCATCCCTCCAGTACCCTCGACGCCATGCCTGGGTATCACTGTCCACCGCTGGTGTGCAGCGCAGACGCAAATGCGCTTAATGAAAGCTATTCCCCTACGAATCTCACCAGATAACATTTTTGCGTAATCTGGGCGTGGCAAGCTCGCAAAAGACAATAATACCACTGTGCGTGGAGAAGCACCATCCCGGAATCATGTCCCTGGGCGACTAGACGAGCGTGGACTTACGTTCGCTTTTACATGTGGAATCGCGGTGCTATACCGCCATGTGACACTGTATATCCATCCATCCGGCACGAGAAGAGAGCAGGCGGTACCAACGACACATGGGCATGAAGGGTATTCGATATCGGATGGGCACTTCTGTCCACATGAGCGCCAAGGGGGACACAAAACGTTGTCTAGCAAACGATGATGCAAATGCAGAAGGAGTCCACAGTGCCAAACAACAATTGTTTGTTCGTTAGAAACAGTTCTAGAAAATGGTAGGGTGCACGGTTGGTCGACCTTTGTGCACAGTGACATGACGGGAAGTTGGGAAATGACGAAAATATAGGTGTGGTCGGAGGACAAGAAGTGATAGATACATACCTCTCAATGTCGTACGGCTATTTGCTGCTCGGAAACCTCCTGAATGTCCACTCTATGAGGAAAGAGCCGCTGAATACGACTCACACTGTACTGTACATGTATAAAATTCAGGGGGAATGCAGGCTGCCATCCTCAATAACACGAACAATGATCGCATACCTGAAACAGCGCAACCTTGCTCATCTTCACATGTTAGACAGGAAGCGGCTTACACTCCCAGAGGTTCACATCCGTGCACACCACAAGAGTTGTTCGTCTTGATACGATACATCTGCGGGACGATGTCGAGGGCAAGTCGACGTCGGGGGCATGCACCGCGCTCACATAGTTCGAGGCATCTCCTGAGGACGATGACGTCATCATCTTGTCCTCAGACCAATTACGGTACTGGATCACATGACCGCGTATGATACTCACACCGTGCGTTCTGTTCTTGATTTCTGACGTGTTTGTTGGCTACAAGCCGTGTCGAACAGCGTGGATTCTATTGTATTTAGTCCCGATACCTTACCACATACGGTCAATTCTTGCATTGAGTAAGTAGATGTAAGTGTATATTCTCATACCTCGGCTGCATCGACTGAGTCGAGCTCCGCAATATTTGGTCCTCAGACTATAACTGCAGGGAGCCTGACAGCATGAAAGCATTGTGGGCACCGGGATAGAACGAGTGGTTTGCATGCTTTCACCTCTATATCGGCACATATAATTTTCGCAGGGAAGCATCTATTGATCATGATTAGTGCATAGTGTTACAAAGCTCGTCCGGTCGAACCATGTGCCGACCTTGCCAGCCTCCGATATGAGCAACGGGACGCGCCTGCCTGTTGCCCTGTTCCGCAAAACCATGTGGGTATATTTCTTCGTATTCATTCGCCCCCGTACATAGATGTCGTCTCGGACACAGTATCCACCGCGTCGCTGTCCACTCCATTTACAGTCAGGTACATCTTCTCTCCCTCTCCCATCTCTTGCCCCACCCTCTCCGCACCAACACAGTACTTCAACAGCGAGCCCAGCACGAGTGGGATGACATCCTTGTCCACATCCTCGCCCCACAGCACATCCAGGTGCTCGTACCCGTGCAGCCGATACGCCTCCGTATGGTCCGGAAGCTCCCTCCGCATCACATCGATGTCCGCCAGAGAGTCCTCGTCGCCATACAGCAGCACGATTGGCGTCGTGATGTTGCGTGTCGGGAACCGTGCTGGCGCGTAGCTCGTCACCCCGCTGGGCCGGTGTCGCGCCGCCGCCTGCGCCATCGCTCCGCGCACGCTCGACACACGGATCACACGCTGCACATCGTCGTCGTACATCTGGAACTTTGCATTCCGCATGATCTGAAACCAGTGCACCACCGCCTTCGTCGACGCGTACGAGTACAGGTGCGAGTACGCCGCCAGACGCTGCAAATGCGTGATCCGCCGGGACCGCCAGCCAAACAGAAAGCGCATCGACAGCGTGATCGCAGCACTGAACACAGGAGGGTAGAGCAGCGCATTCCACGCGGGCACAGACGACATGATAGCCCTCCGCCCGAAGATCAGGAACAGCAGTGTCGGGCTCGCCTTCATCAGTCCGTCCACAATCGGCACAGCCAGACCCGCAGGAGAGATCGCCGGTGCCAGCGCGATGAACACGTTCACCTTTTCATTCAGCTGCGGGTGGATGCTCAGCGCCGCGAATGCCTGGGCAGTGCCCTGGCTGAACCCGACATACGACACGCTCGGCTCGCGCGTCACCCGAAGGATGTACTCGATGCTGTCCGGGATGTCGTGCCACGCATAGTCGTCGATGCTGAAGTCCCAGAATCGTGTCGAGTTCGGATTGTGGTGTATATTCTTGCGCGAGTATTTGTTCCCGCGGTTGTTCCCCAGCCACACATCGAACCCGCGGTCGGCCAGCGTGAACGCAACGCTGCGTGACGGGTCCGTCAGGCACACCCAGACCTCCGAATTCATGAGCAGCCCATGGTGGAGATACACAACTGGCTTGTTCATCGCTGCCCCACTGCGCGTGCAGCGCTCGCCTCGCCGCAGATGCAACCGATGCAGTCCAAGCAGATACCCGTCCTTGGTGAGCACAACATGCTCCTCGAAAGCATAGCCGAAGATCTCACACAGCCGCTCGAAGTCCGACGCACGCCGGATACGGTCTGCCAGCTGCTGCTGCCCCGACTTGGGAATGGGCGGGCCGACACAGAGATGGAAGAGAGAGCGCGAGCGATTATAGAACCATTGGATGACAGACTTTGGCAGGAATGCTATGATCGTGGTCAACAGGGTCTCTAGGACGACCATCAACGCGCCGACGAATATTGCGGTGTACTCGCGGGCGGTGAGCCGTCCGAGGAGCGGGATATAAGGCATGGCGAGGGTGGATCAGCAGCTGAGGTCATGGTCTGAGTTGAACAACAATGTTAAGCATAAGACGAACACACTACATACTCTGTGCTTGAGGTCGTCGCGGCAGATGGGCCCATGGATTTGCGCCCAATGAAGGCACGTTTGCTATGTCTGCCGTAGTGCGGCGTCCGGCCCCAGTGGACTCAGTTGAGGCGCGTCCTAGTTTGAGAGTATGGAACAAGGAAAGTAGTGTATGGGTGAGTCGCTTCAATCTGTATGCCAGGTCCGAATGGTCGTCTCTACCCGGGCGATGCGTCACTGGATATTGTCCGCTTAGTCAGCAATGATGGCGCTCAGGATCCGCCGCAGCCAAGTTCGATCATGTACGACCTCCACGGCTAGCCTACAGCAATATCATTACATTGGTTCTTGATGTATTCGATTGGGAGTCTATGCCGATACGGTCGAGATGACGCTGAGTAGCAACAGATAAGATCAGTCCGAGGCAATAAACTGCAAGGCGTCGGGCAAATTCACAGCAAGTTGAAGCACGGCCTAGAGCCTCAAGAATACATGATTGTTTGTATGTCCTGATGTGATAATCCAGGTAATGGAAGGTTATCAGGAAAGTCAGTGCGGTGATGCTGAATCCAGATCCGTGATCCGGCGTCTGCCTCCATAGTTGCCTTTCGTGGTCACGACGCCACAGCGGCACATCTCGCACCTACAGACTCCTAGGCTTCACCTGTGTCGAACGAATGGTAGATCAAACAGGAATTATCGTCTATGTATATTGCTATATCGCTGAATACATTATAAGACTCGGAATTCGCCTGTATCCCCGCCCGGGCTGTGTCTTTTGTCCTCCTGGCCGACGCGGAGTTCAAATCCACGCCCTTGTATTCTGTCCTTTTGCGTCTACCTCGAGCACAATACCAAGCAATAACGCCACGAGGCGGAATCTATATAGAAAAAGGCTGTGGTAATATATTAGATAAGATTCCCCTATTAAGACCTTGTCGTCAGTGGCGGTCCAAGCTCAACCACCTTGCGTTCCACCATATCCCACCCCTACCCCTCGCCACAACACACTCGACCGCACTTGCAATCGCACCTCTGCTAAACAGTGAGTACTGTTTGTTCATTCAGTCCATTTGCTTCTGTCAGCACCTGAACATTCGACGGGTTCAACCTGGGCTTTGGTGGGGGACATTGTGGCGTCGGTCCTCGACATCACCCGCGTGCCGTCGTTACAGTCGCCAGACACATAACTTTCAGCACACAGTAGTCATCGATGACTGACATTACTGGTTTCATCCTGCTCTAGCACCCCCTCATCCAGCAGCGATGTTGTTGCTTCAAATAGTAACCCAGCTCGGCATCGCTATCCTCACACTCATAACGCACCCCTCGACTTATGGAAACCCATACATACCTCTGACAATCGGAGCATTCATCGAAGCCGCGGTCCCTCACATCATCTTCATCGCTGATAACGCCGCGCACTCCTTCATGTGAGTGAGCTCAACATCTATGCGCCACATTAACTCACTTTGTTCATACAGCATGTCTGTTCCCTCTCTCCCGGCCCCTCCCACTCGCCATGCCATCTCAGGCCCTCCTGCGATAATACCGTCAAAGGATCTCATACTCTGGACACCCATTGGGCTCCCAGTGTCCGCAGGACTTCACATGCCGGCCCTCACGATACCCCCCATCCCGAGTCCGTCGAGCATCACGGAGGAGCGCACCCATCGGCCTACACCACAACTCGAATACCCCACGAAGGACCTCATCGTCTGGGAGAGGTACACAGCTGAATTGGTCAATGCAATCGAGCCAGTACCACTCGTCGCGTGTGGCATCATCATCGTATGCTGCGCCTGCGTCATGGCAATGGTCTTTCACTCCCGGTACTCAGACAAAGTCAAGGCACGCGTATCGGATGTTCTCGTAAGTGACCAGTCATCGAGTCCAACGACATCGGCTCACCATCTTCTTAGCCCACTGTCGCTCTCGACACAGATGCCGGTGCAGCCTCGCCGTTCAACGACGAGCTCGCGTTGAACGGCGAGGATGCCTCGGCGGACTTGTTCGACCAGGTATTCATCAACAACATCATCAGTGGCCCAGAACAGTTTGTCCATCCCAACGGTGAGTTGACAGTTATGTACTCTATACCATCGAAGCTGACAGTCTTTAAAGACACCCTCAGGGTCGCAGGCGAAACACTGCTGGAGGTTTCAAATGACAACGTCGACAACGGAACTACGCTCTCACCTGCCCAGATCACAGGTACTGCTCGCCGTTGTGTATGCATGAACACAACCCGCTGATACTATACGCATCCAGACCTATCCAATGGTCGTATGGCCTTATACCCACACACAACGGCCGCCAATCCCAATGGCGACGACGCTGAATATACCCAGGACATACGGGGCGAACATGCCCAGGTGAACACCGACGTTGCGCTAATCGAATCAAGCGCCCTAGTGGTAGGCACTGCTCACTACCAACGTGTTCGTCGAGCTGACGGTGCTGATCGAAATAGGATTTCTCGACGCTGGACACGGACATTTGTCCATTGGCACCAGTACTACCCCAACAGAGTGGCCAAACCACCGTGCTCCATCCCGCATCCGCTGACACAATGGCTGGCGGATCCCCGCTCACCGTCACAAACCCGCTCAGCACGCTCCTGATATCCTCAACACGGGAAGCATGCGAGGAATATGCGAGACGGTGCAAGGCAATCTCCGCCAGCACAGGCAAGTGGAAAACCAAGGACCTCACGCTCACCTTGCCACAACCTGCCAGTGCGCAAGTCGTACAGCATATGGCAGAGCATGCCAACATCATCAGTGTGGGGCGTCAACAAGCGGCAGAACTGCGCCAGCGATGCGAAGAACAGTTTGCCGAGCTAAAGAAGCAGTGCGCCGAAGCCGACAGTTGTATCGCTGAGTTGGATCGAGAAGATGCCGAATTGGAGCAAGACGTCAAGCTGTTGGAACAGGAGGACGCGCGGGCTGAGGAGGAACGCAAACGCCTAGCGGAAGACACGGTAATGCTGCAACGCGCGCGTGCACAGCTAGCGGCGGAGAGCGTGAAGGACGAAAACGTCGAGCAATCCGGAGCAGAGGTCTGCGAGGCACTTCCTCGGGTGGACGAGCAAGGGAGTGAGGATCTGCGACAGACGCAGCTGTCGGGAAGCGGCACAACGCCATCGGATGAGCATAATCCAGTAAATGAGCCACTCCAGGACGATCTCGAAGAAAGCGAGGAGGAATTCCACAGGTTGCTGAGGGAAAGCGAGAGTCAGGCAGGGCAGGAGCGATGCGAGGAGAGCACGATAGGCGAGAGCACCGAGCCATGCGAAGAGGTCGATGCGATCAAGACAGAACACGACCGGTCGATAGAGCACGATGGGGACGAGGCGGAAATTCGGAGCGAAGGAGCCTCGCTGGAGTACGCGCAGCATCTAGTCGACGACCTGGACGCAGACGAGCAAGGCGATGTGGCCAACGATCAAACTCATCAAACAGAGGAGCAGGAAGATGATTGGCGGAGAGCGTTCGAAGAGCGCTATGGTCCACTCGATGATCCTTCCTCCACAGCCAGTGTTACGACATCCTCACCTCAGACCTCGTCGAGCGAATGTCATCCACCAATTTGCGAGCAAGATGCTCATGGCCGACACGAAACAGTTGAGGGTCAAACGCGCCAACCTCGGGATGAGTCATACATTATCTATGAAACAAGTCCTCCAAATCCGACCCCCAACGCTTCATCGTCGCATGCACCGATGCCGCTGGTGTTCAAGGACTGTGATGCGATGCCGCCCATCGCTCCCAGCAGACCTTGGCCGCTGCCAACACCCGCTTTGCCTCACATCCGGCCTGACATCTGGTCCTCACGCGAACAGATCGACGTCGTTCCACCTCCGACATCGCTCATGTCGCTGCACGAAAGCCCAGGCGACAAAAGCGAGCAAACTGTGCGTTCAGCGAACGTGCAGTCTGGCTCACCCATATCGCCACAGGTCGCCAGCGCGCCCAGACGCACAAGACGGCTACTGGGAACCATGCCACGCGCATTCGCACTTGCAATGGATCAGGGTAAGAGCAGGAGACGATAGGTCGTCCAGGCACGAACTTCGACCATCCTCTCTGTAAGTCATTGTTCTTGAGTCCTCGCGCTGTACGCTTATCACCTGCACAGAATCCGGGTGAGTAGCTGACCGCACAGTCGTCTCGGCTTGTTCGATTCCACGTACTATATGGTGTGTGCCTGTTCCTTGCCCATCTCCAAACCCGCCTCGCTCATTTTGAATCCCCTCTCGCCCCTCTAGCTCGGTCCTAGCTGCTTGCCACCTTCGCATACCCACGCGTTCCTTGCTATGCCTCAAGTCCCCTTTATACCCCCATTCCTCGTCGCTGATACCTGGCATACCTGCACCTGTTTCCACATCGTACGCCCCCCTCGCCAGTCTTTGAGCATACCTCCATTCAATACTTTCCTGCGGCTTCCTCTGTATCATATTCACAATACAGCATCACGTATCCTCGGTCGATTGTGATTTTGGAACAGAATTGGTAGTGATGTGTGCTTCCTCTATTCGCATGAACATTGTCCTTTGTGTGTTGATATGCTAGCTAATGTAGTGCGATCGCCCACACGAGGCGATCTCGCTCACCGTTGAGCAGTATCTTGAGCGAGCAGCCCACACATCGAAGATGCTCGGTCCACAAAGGCTGTCTCTGAAGTGAGCATCTCACCGAGGCGCAAGGGTCTAGGAGGAGCCGCGTAGAGCGACCAGTAGTCGCACAGAATAGGAAAGAGCTTGCAATAGCTGACAGGTGAATGGCGTTGAGACTGGAAAGGGATCGTCGAAAGAGTCGCTGGCACGTGACGAGACGCGTCAGGATGCGTCGCAGTTTATCCAGTTCATGTCCTGCAACTCTTCGATGTTATCAGCGATCCAAGCGTTCAACGTTCAGCATCTACGCTACTGACAATTTGCTGTTTGATATCTATTTCAATGTGCCTGGGATTTATGAACCTTCCCGGCGTCACCTGTCGCGCGACTGGCCCTCCTCACCCCTCTAAGTCAGTTATCGTTGGTGTAGCGATGGACTACACGTTGACACTACAAATGCGAGTCGTGCGGTGTTGTGTATTATATTTGACGCAAATTTTAGCCACCATGACATATTTCCCGAATCATCATCTTGTCTCGCGAGTCTCCCATTTATGGCACAGACCACTCCCGTGATATCGATATGTACGTCCCATATATTATCTCTTTCAATGATGTATGTCCTGTCTAACGAATGTTCATCCACTTTTGTTGTGAGCAATCTGCAACGGGTCACATGTCCAATGTGATCCCCATAACCTTTTGGGGGACTACCTGTTGTCGTTATGCGAAAGGAAACTGCGTGTGGTAATCTGGAGTCGAGGTCTCACTCCTGATCCAATGTCTTCCCTTCTCGCGCGCGTGAGCTGTATAGACAAAGATGTGCCATCGTACAAAGAATCTATCCTCGTCATCATCCATGCGCAATACTCAGGTCGGTGAAGTATCTACCCAATGGACACATTCCATGGAATTGTGTGCTTATATGATGCAGAAAGGTTGTCAGTCTCTTCCTTTCGCAGCCTGAACAGGAGCAGTAGGCACAATCACAGACGAGATCATCTTCATCTTACGTTTCAAGGCGGTCTGGGTGTGGCAAAGTATGATACCTGAGCACGAGTGGAACCAGCAGCGTAAGCGCTTGTGTTCAGAAACGAGCAAAGGCGGGCTTTTCCTTATGCGGCCCCTTGCGTCAGCACTCATGGAGACAATTATGGCGCGGTGACACAGCCGAGATGGGGCAGGGACGGAATGGCGCGGAGCAGCCGCTCAAACTGATGACGGACGCGAACTGCACGCTACACAGCGAGAGCGTGGTGGCGGTGGTGAGTTCCGCGAGGCACAGGGTGCAGCACTGCCGCAAGGCCATGGCACCCAAGGAGCAGCAGCAGAATCCAAGGCGCACGACAGCGGGCAGTCGGCGGGGCCCAATTCGGAGTCGTCGAGGACGGAGGCCGCCATTGACGGTGAGGCTGTCCGCCAGCGCGCCCATGTGCAGATGCGCGCGCGGCAGGTGGATGAAGCGGATAAGTTGGGACTGGTCGGAGAGGGCGATCTTGTGCAGGAGATGCGGCCGGCTCCATGCCCTGCACGTCAAGGCGCAAGCCGAGAGGGCCGTATCACGACGCGCCACAGGCTGCAGCGGAGGCCGTCTTCGGATGATCCGGACGCGGACCGCGACTCCTGGCCCCGCCCGGCTTTCCACGCCCCGGGGTCGGCGCCCCCTGTGCTGTGCATGCGTAGTTGTGTATGCGCGCGGGGCCGCGCATGAGGATCCGCCGGGCGGAGGCGCTGCTGTGCAGCACGATACCGCGGTCGGCGGCGGACACGCGTGGCGGTGGCAGGTAGGTCCAGCGTGTGCGGCCGCGCGCAGACCGCGTGGCGGGTGCGCGCTGCGGGGTGCGGGCCCAGACCCGCCGCATTCCGCGCCTCCGCGGCCATGGTGTGCACAAAACGGTGCTCTCGCACGAAGAGCCAGCTCAAAGGGTGCATGCATGCTGAGCGTGTGCGCTGGGTGGTCCGGCGGGCGCCACTTCCGGATGCGCGGAGAGGTGCTGAGAGGATGGAACAGGTCCTGGCGGGCACACGTCTGCGCGGAAACGCCATTGCAGGTGTTGGTCTACCCGGGCGGCCATACCGCACAAGTCCGGTGAGTGCCCATGGTATTACGGCAAAGATACATGACGATATGCGCGGGGTGTATATGCGGGTATAGTCTATGTCAGGGCTACAGATCGAGGCGCGGCGCACGGGGTCCTGCGTGGCGCACGGGACGCAGCTACGCGAACAGCTCGGTCTCTGCAGGCGGGTGGCGGAATGCCCTGCAGGCGGGACGGCGGCCGCCGGCGCGGCGGCAGCGCCAGCAGCGGTGCATGGCGTGCTGTGCGTCCTGGAAGCGCTGTTCGGCGTCGGCGTGGGCGTGGGCGCGGGGCGGGCGGCGCGCGAGGCGCTGGAGCGCGGCGACGACCCGAGCGCGGACATGCGGCTGAGGTGCGGGCGCGTCGACGAGGAGCTCGTCGAGCGCGGGGAGGACGAGGTGCGGGCAGGAGAGCGGGGGCGCGGGGAACGCCGTGGGGAGGGACTCGGCGCGGGCGTGCGTGGGGCGGGTCTCCTTCTGGGCGTGCGTGGGGCGGGTCTCCTTCTGGGCGTGCGTGGGGCGGGTCTCCTTCTGGGCGTACGGCGGCGGCGCGTGGCGGGGCGGCAGGTTGGAGAAGGAGAGGGAGGAGGAGAGGGGGATGGCGAGTGCGGTGCCGGGGCGGCCGGGGCGGATGAAGCGGACGTCGAGGTTCATGCCGAGGCGCGGGCTGAGCTCGGTGGAGGGGGCGGCGGGGAAGTAGGCGATGCAGGCGACGGAGTCGGCGTGGACGAGTGCATTCTTGGGTGTGCTGAGACGCTTGGGGGTGGCGCGGGGGGCGGTGGACGGGTCGGGGGCGGGAGTGGACTTGAGACGGTGGAGGAAGCCCATGGTGCGGTGCGGCTAGGCGAGGTGGGGCGTGTGGAAGTAGAGGACGGGACGGAGGCTGGTATGGAGGCCATTATGAGTGCAGCGGAGAATGGGGAGGCTGACCCCGTGTGGCTGGACACTATGCCACAAGCTGTGGTGGATGCATGTAGCTCATCACATGGCCCCGGACATAGGACACAGCAGAGGGTCCAAGTAGTGGACAGGTGTGGCATTCAGCAGCATTGGGCTATTAGGGCGCTGCAATTGGGTGTCACCGCCCGTGGCGTCTCCCGATCATGATCGGCGCACGTGGCTGCACCTTCCGCCTCGCTCGCCTGGTCATATAACGGCAGACTTTGAGAATCGGACGCCACCATGTCCCTCCCTCCGGAACTCGATCGGCCGCTCGACGTCCTCCTCATCGACAACTTCGACTCCTTCACCTGGAATCTCTACCAGTCGCTCTGTCTCCTCGGCGCAGATGTGACCGTCATTCGCAACGACGCCATCACCCCCGACGCCCTTCCCAGCCTGCAAATCCGCTCTCTCATCATCTCCCCGGGCCCAGGCCACCCCTCCACCGACTCGGGCATCTCCCGCGACGCCATCCGATTCTTCACCGGCAAGGTCCCCGTCCTCGGCGTGTGCATGGGCCTGGAGTGTTTGGTCGATGTCTTTGGCGGGCAGATCGCGTGAGCCGCCTTCATCTTCTCTCATTTCCAAGTAGCCGCGGTCTGCGTTTGTTACAGATAAAGCCCTGCCTGATAAAGTGCTTGACTGCTCCGTGCTGCGCACACACTTCAGCGCGAGAAGCGCAAACGGTATTCATTTTTCACAGCATGTGAATCTCTTGCACACACCCCATGGGCCCCTTGACACACACGTTTGCCTGTCCGCCGCCGTGTTCGTCTGCGCCGTTCATTACCGCTACCCGATCACGAACGTCTGCCGTTCGCGATGTCTCTCATTCTCACGCGGAAATGCCCCCATCGAGCTGTCTCGCGTGTTCAGTAGGTGTCTTTGACGGGCATATCGCGTCAGCTGCCTTCTTCTTTTTTATTCCCAAGTAGCCACGGTCTTTTCGGACATGAGGACCACGAGTGTCTCAGCTGAAGCCGTGGCTAATACGGTGCCTGAGACGGCTCTGCACCATGCACCGTGCACAGACGTGAACATACACTCCAGCGCGAGAAGTGCAAGTGGCTTCCATCATGGTAGCATGTAGGAAATCGAGCGCGAGCTATCTATTGTACGGTATTCGATGTGGAGGCAAGTGGGCATTTCTGCTCATGGGCTGGCATGGGCCCCTTGACACATGTTTGCCTGTATTTCTGTCCGCTGCCGTGCTTATCTGCACCGTTCATGACCGCTATTGCGTCTGCCATTCACGACGTCGCTCCACGGAAATGCCCCCAGCATATGCTCTTCATCCCGTACTCATCTCCGCTCACAGGTACGCCGGCGAGATCATGCACGGCAAGGTCTCCCAGATCCGGCACGACGGCCGCGGCGTGTTCGCGGGCCTGCCGCAGCTCATCAAGTCCACGCGCTACCACTCCCTCTCCGCGAGCACGTCCTCGCTCCCGCCGACGCTCGCGGTGACCGCGACGACGCAGGAGAGCGGCGTGATCATGGGCGTGCGCCACCGCGAGTACACGATGGAGGCCGTGCAGTACCACCCGGAGAGCATCCTGTCGGAGGGCGGCGACGCGCTGCTGCGCAACTTCCTGCGCCTGCGCGGCGGGTCGTGGGCGGAGAACTCGGCGTTTGGGGTGTCCGCGGACGAAGAGAGCGCGCCGGACAGCGCGGCCCACGGCCACGCGAGCACGTCGGCCTCGGCTGCGGCCGCGGCCGTGGGGGCGGGGGCGGCGAGCGCAAAGGTGCCGACGATCCTGGAGAAGATCTACGCGCAGCGGATGCGCGACGTGGAGGCGGCGAAGCTCGTGCCGGGGACGACGGCCGCGGACCTGCAGACGCTGCTCGACCTGTCGCTCGCGCGGCCGCTGACGTCGTTCGTCGACGCACTCACGGCGGGGCCGGGCGCGCCCGCGCTGATGGCGGAGATCAAGCGGGCGTCGCCGTCCAAGGGCGCGATCGCACTGGGCACGAACGCGGCGCAGCAGGCGCTGACATACGCGCTGGCGGGCGCACGCGTGATCTCGGTGCTCACGGAGCCGACGTGGTTCAAGGGCACGCTGGCGGACATGCGGGCGGCGCGCGAGGCGGTGGACGCGCTGCCGCGGCGGCCGGCGATCCTGCGCAAGGACTTCATCTTCGACGAGTACCAGGTGCTGGAGGCGCGCGTGCACGGCGCGGACACGGTGCTGCTGATCGACGCGGTCGTACACTGATGCTCTGTGATTAGCCTGCGCGACGGTCGTCACGGGCTGGTAATTGGCGAGATGAGCGCGAGATGAGCTCGGATCGCGTGAGCGTGCGAGGAACGACCAGGTGGAATTCAAGAGATACGCCATTGCAGAGGATGTAGAGAGCGCAGGGGATGTGGAAGCGCAGGGGATGTGGAGAGCGCAGGGGATGTAGAGAGCGCAGGGGATGTGGAGAGCGCAGGGGATATGGAGAGCGCGGGGGATATGGAGAGCGCGGGGGATATGGAGAGCGCGGGGGATGTGGAGCGCAGGGGGTTGAAAGAGCGCACTGATGTTAGGGACCACACGGGACATTGGCAACGAGATATATTACAAGGCCTCACACTGTAGTACTACATGAATATATTTCTGTCCCCCCGGTCTCGCATTGAACTCGAATGTCGTGAAGGTGTACAACAAATTACCAATTTGCCACTCTACAGCAACTCGCAACTCGCACATCCTCGCGCCCATGATCTGCAGGAACGTCAAATGCGGTATACTCTCCGCACTGTGACTGATCGAGCCCTGACGACAAGTGACCAGCCTGCAAAACAGCAGCCCGGTCACCCGTGTACATCAGACATAGTGACCCGCAAATGAAAGGACCTACCGGAATGGCAGCCCGCGAGTGTCGCTGCCAGACAGGCACAAAGGATGCGCTGCCCGTAGACATGCCAATAACAGTGGTAGAGTCTCGCACCCGGGGCGATGATTGTCCGACAGGACTTACTCGAAACTGGGCCGGTTGATTTCGATGCCGCTGCCGTGGAACGCCTTGTTATGGCCTGGACTGCTCGCGGCCTCAAGAATGCACAATGGGCTGCACAATTAGAGGCTAGTCGCCTCGCTGAAGACGAATGCCTCCTACAGGACGCCTCGGCTTGCAGGCAAGCTGACGATGCTGCCGCTGAGGAGGCTCGCCTCGCGCGTGAACGAAAATGCCCCCGTCTCGGTAAAATACATTTGCACCCACTCAGACGCTTGTTCAGGTAAGCTGTTCCTCGACGTTCTATAGGGTTGAGAGCGCCGCCATATACAGTATGTGGTCTGCAAAAAGAAATTAGTTCCCCAGCTCCGTAGCAGTACAAATGAGGCTCCAGGCGTGCTCACCGAGACTCAATCTGCCCGCACCGGATGTCAACTCTTCCACGTCGCACATCTGAATCCTCATACAAACAGTCCACGTGCCAGTCTCCCTCGACCCTGGACTAGCCCAGTGACTCAATCAGCCTGTCAACAGGGAGAAGGGTTCTTTACTTACTGCACCATAGTCTGACCATGGTAATCTACTGGTCTCGTGGCTGGTTCGCTATTTGAACAGATTGGAGACAGTCGAGCAACCATGCCATCTTGATGTGTTGAACATCCTCTGGGATGTTGCCGCACAAGAGAATGAACAGACAGGGGTGGAAAGGATGCTAGGTCGACTTGAACATTCTGCTGATAAGCACACAAGCAGAGATTGGGCATAGTGACAATAGACGGAGTGCATCTCACCGTCAAATGGTCCGCTGATATATCAATCTTGCTACCCACATCATGTGACAACACTTTGGCAAGACCACCCGAATTGGTCATGGTCGAGAACATGCAAATATCAAATTGACATCTCACGTTCACACACAATGTCAGCAACGCGCTTAGTCTCAGGACATGCACCAGGCTCAATTCAAGCCCTTTTGTAGAAACGAGTGTCGGCGTCGGGTTCAAACAAGCGAGCGCAAAGGTTTACGGAAGCAAGCGGCACGGGAAAAGATCAAATACGAAGTGGTTTGTCTCGTCCTCGGGATGGTGTCGCGACTTGAGGTCAAGCGACAGGGGAAAACCTAGAAGGCTGGGGGCGTTCGACTAGTTCTCACCGAAGCGATGGTGAGCAGTGCTCGAACCTAAGGCTAGGGACAAGAAATGTATTAGTTAGTTGTAAGGTAAGTAAGAGAATACAGGAGCTTACTGACCTAGGGACAAGAGGTCGAAACTGAGGTCCCTAGGGCAGCAGAGGCCGTCTTATATACATGGGGAGATAAGGGCAGGCTGTGCGCGTTGGTCCGTGCGCAGCTGGTCCGTGCGCAGCATGCTGACGCGGCCCCGGGGGCCGGTGAGTCAGAGAGGCTGTGTCAGCGGAGCCCGAGCTGTGCCACGCACTGCCGTCCTATCTAATCTGATTGTACAGTAGATATGATGTGTCCGTATCAGGCAAGTAGTACAGAGGTTGCGGGTTCGAGCCCGTGAAAAGGAAAAAATTAAAAAACGGCTAGACGCCGTACCAACTCGTGACAT